GAAATGAGACCACTATAGTGTCTGCATACAAAAAAACTGTAGAAATTCAACTGTAATAACAAAAAAAAATCAGGGAAACCTTTTGCTTTTTACTTACTTCATGGGGTAATACAAAGGAATTGATGAACTAACTTCTAAAGAATAGCTTTCATTTACCCTAGTGACGCATTCATTGCATAGACCTTCCCTGCACGTGTTTGAGACTTTTTAGGCTTATCACAGGTGAATAGCTTTATAATTAGTGACACAGGGAATGTGCTCAGTTAGTCGGAAGGAGACAGAAAGATAGTGACTAACAAAATGGAGAATAAAACAGTTGCACTGCTTAGTAGTGCACACACGCACAGCTTTTCGTCTTCTAGCAGACACAGATTTCTGATAAAAACCTGTTTACACTTCATTCATATCTTTACAAATCTAACAGCGGATTTCCTTTCACAACTCCAAATAACTATCATTTTTCTCTACCTAGTGTATTCTGTAGCGCTGTTGTGTACCCATTGCTCTGTCCCGTTATGCGATAATACGAAATAAGTTAAACGCATCATGCATAATGCCATGAGTTTGGATCCAGGGCCAACTTTTGAACAGGATATATACAGCAGTTATTTTAGAAACTAAGTATAATAGTGTGGGAAAAAATGTTTCCAGAGACCACTTTTGAACCCCATAGCTTCAACCACTACCACAACCGACATCAACTTCAAAAAGGAGACAGTTCGATATACGACAAAACTTAAAAGCCTAATGCTTGTTCGGTTTTATTATTACCAAGAACTATTCCGTCCTACAAATACCATAGCGTCAGGGTAGATGGTAACCACATAAGGCATATTCCAGCTACTACTTCGACGATTCACAACCCTATACACCTGAAATCATTATGATTATATTAGGATAGAGGGCTTTTATGGTGACGATCTTTGGTCGTCTGATAAAACTCGTATAGAAGTTTGTTGCAAATACAGTTAAAAAAGCCAAAATCTCTTTTCTAGAAGGATAGATATTTCCATCTAGTTGGATTATAGCACGTGGTAATACAAGTTACAAGAGTGTCTGTTTGTACTGATAGAGCTACATATGTATAAACAAATAGAATTAACACAGAGATTGCTATTACGTCTGCAAACTAAAATAATCAAGCCTTAGAATCATCATAAGATAGAAGAGTTTTGAATGGATCTACACTACTGCACATGAGGCTGATCCATGTCACACGAAACGTCTAATAAACAGTTTCGGTTGTCAAAACAGTCTCCGGCCAGTTCAAGTTAGACGACAATCACAAATCAGTAACACTCCATAATAAAAGTAAGTCTGAAAGAAGAATATTCTTTTCAATAAGTTCTCCTCTTCAGGTTCTTACAATTATAAAATATAATATTAACTGCCGTCACAATAATGGCCAGTTATGCGGTGGATACACTTTTTAACGCAGAATAACAGATTAACTATGGGGTGTCAAAATAAGTAGTCGTAATTGTGTGACAAACGTGCTAGGCTGAAATCGATTACAAAATATTTTGGTGAAATGAGAGACAATGGTGGTGATTAGTCATAATAGATTCGTAGAGTGTGGGGTAGGAAAAATTGACAAGTCAGTTCAAGGTTATAAAAGGTGTCAGGGCAGTGAGTGGCTAGTACAAAGTGGTATGTGTTATTAATGAGGAGGAGATAGTAAGACTCAAATAAGAGGTGATTCATAATGAAATAACGAATGTGTGAAATGAAGAAACAGGTGGAGGCGGCATATACTGGGAAAAGAGATAATAACACTAGTAATAATTCCGGATAGTATAAATGGAAAATTCGATAGTATTGACAGAATGTTGGAATGAAGGGCATAAATTATGACGAATAATAATAATAATTGCAATAATCAGCGAAACAAATAAAACACAAAATAAACCAAGAGGGTTAAGGGGAAGAAGCACTCTAGGTGAGAAGAAGAATCATTAATCCAAGTTTGGCCACGGTAGGAATAGTGTCTGGACGTGTTCGTTTTGGATACAAAGTTCCGGTTTAGTCGATCTTGTCCCAACAGCTTCAGCTATGTTTAGGCGACGTCAGTTAACTGTGCATGATAACGAATTCGGAATTCGGTATATAACTCTGAAAGCTGTGTTGACGTCGATGCGATGTCCAGCATCGACCAAGTGTGACAGGATCGACCTTTTTATGCACTTAATTTTCCTCCTGCTGAACCAAGTTGGTAAATGTTCTCGAACCCGTAAACTAACCTGACTAATCGTGCGCCCCATATAACTTGAACCACAGGAACAGTTGCGATGGTATGTACTAGCAACTCACTGCCCTGACACCCTTCATAACCTTGAACTGACTTGTCCATTTTTCCTACCCCACACTCTACGAATCTATTATGACTAATCACCACCATTGTCTCTCATTTCACCAAAATATTTTGTAATCGATTTCAGCCTAGCACGTTTGTCACACAATTACGACTACTTATTTTGACACCCCATAGTTAATCTGTTATTCTGCGTTAAAAAGTGTATCCACCGCATAACTGGCCATTATTGTGACGGCAGTTAATATTATATTTTATAATTGTAAGAACCTGAAGAGGAGAACTTATTGAAAAGAATATTCTTCGCTTAGATTGACTTTTAATTCATGATATGAGAATATTTCACATTATTAAATCTTATAACTCCCTAATAACACTTACGCTTATCCACACGACTCCAATCACCGGTCAATAACTTCATAGACTGATACGATCTCTTGGCTTAGCTACTCTTAGCAATGAATAGGAATAGGAATCCGTAACATACGTTTTGCTTACCTCAAGTGAAAAAAATCTTATCAGATTACACTGCGATCACAAAATATAAAGTGGAAAAAAAGTACAGTAATAAACACAATATGAGAGGAGGGAAAACGAATGAGGAGAAGTGTAAAAATCTTCATGAATCAATGTCTTTTGTACTGCGAAGAAATGTCGCCCAACCAATAATTGCAAATTACTGGTTCCTAACATCTTGAAGGTGCGTCGGTGGCATTGCGGTTAGGACGCTCGCTGACCATGCACATGGTCCGGGATTCGATCTCCGGCCACCGACGAGGTACTCCTTCACCTCGCTAAGCCATAAATAATGCTGGTAAAGAGGAAAGGTTGGGCATGAGGCTGGCAACCCCATTCTGTAAAATAAACACTGCTACAGAAACTTCAAGTCAATAGCTTGAAGCCCTATGTTCCACTGGGGAAAGTGAAGGATAAAAAAAAACATCTCGAAGTCACCAACCAGGTGCATTTACCGGTTTAATCAGCAAACTCGTAACGTGCTCACTCTTGACGTTCACCATTCATGCAACTTATTTCAAATTACTTCGTTCCACTATATTATTCTTATTATGTGTCAACCTTTGTAATTTACATTAAGCTTAGTATGTCTCTGGCATTTCATTATAGTCCACAGTTCAGCCTCTTTTATCATTATACTTGATATCTGTCAGGCCTTGAGCCTACATTCAGTGCTCCCCATTTGTTGGTATTTATTTGTACGTATTTTGTTGTAATCATATTTCTCATATCACTGACTGTGACTCACTACCCCCAATGAAAATTATATTCTGTTAACTATAAATGCATTAGCATGTCACTCAGTTGCCTATTCACAATTTATCTTATGTTCTGAATCACTGTACATCTTATATGCATTCAGCTGACAATATTAACTAACAATCACTCCATCTTATACATTTACCCCAATACAGTTTCTCTCGCCTTTACTGGCTATTACTATATACTAATGATATTCACGGATTTATAACTGTGGAGCCTGGGGAAGAAGTTATCAAAAGCAACTGTTCGTTCAAAACCATTTTGTTCTGATTAAACTTATTTTATTTATTTATTATGTACTAGAAGACATGCATGGGCGGTGGTCCGTGAAACTACTCTATTGCCGGAGCCAAACACAGTAGAACAATTTTTAACATTGGACCCTGTAGTTGAAATTTAACTGCTTAACCCAGTGAGTTAAGTAATAACAAAAGAATTGAAAGCATTAAGAATTTGGATGCACTAATCACGCATTCACTCATGAATTACCAAACGATAGTGAATCATCAACTATATGAATATTTGTGAACTAGAAAATGAATTACAACTATCATGGGAAGATCACTAATATTACTTAGGTATTGCTACTATGGAAGAAAAATTGTGGCTACAAACCGTAAAAGCTGAGTAACAAAGCCATTCAGCTCTGCCAGAAACCTACGAACCATCACACGTTTTGCACACGGACAACCACTGAATTGTTAAAATTAGAGTAACTTTCAGCTAACCAGTTTTGAATACTGGATAGAACTGCTCTTGTAGAAGAATAACCATGAGTAGCATATTAAAATAATAATATATAACAAGACATTCTAGGAAATGAAATGATGTGTAACTATAACCCCAGCAACAGACTTCACCATATAGTACAAAACACAAATGCGAATACGGTATATTGACAGTAACAGCTCTTTAGGGTTCGCAATGTACAAGTTCTTAAGCAGTAAGTAATATGGAGTGTTTTAAAAGAAAAGAGAATAAACACCTTGAAATAAAAGTTTACTTTAATTTCGCATTAAATTGTCCTAATCGGTAAAACGATTTAGAGTGGTGGGAAAACAGGTATTCAAACCGACCTAACAAAAAAGTGAATTATAGACTAATAACAGCTGTAACGTATAGACTAATTGACAACAATTGTGTATAATATTTTCAGAGCTGATGATCTAGTGTCTAAAAGCAGATATTTAATAATTCACAAATAATAGAGTTAAACAGGTCGTCGTATGGTTGACAATGACAACTAGCGAAAAAACAGCAAGCAGACGCTAGTGCACGTACTACCGTCCACAGGCTTAACTAACTAGTCATTTGATGTTTTCACTACGTAGCAGTCCGTTTTTTGACGACCTAGTAGAATAAATCAACAAATAAACGGTAGCTAATGAAGTGTTTTAATAAAAGCTCTTACCATCATGTGTGGCGATATGACGCTTTAGGTGGGTTTTCCGATGAAAGATTAGATCACACTGTCCTACAGGACAAGCATAGTTTTTGGGATGCATTCTGTGAAACTCATCTCGGTGGTTTTTGAGATATTTTGGGGTACGGAATGCCCGATCACAACCATCTATGTCACATACATAAGGCTTCCGAGGGTTGTGTACATCTGCGTGATACTTTAAACGCAGTTTTGTCTTGAATACTCTGCCACACTCACTACATCGATAGGTGTTATACTGAGTTACAATACAGTCGTGATCCCGAAGAAGATCCTCATTTGTAAAAGATCGCGTGCAGCCTTCACAGCGAAATTCTTGACAGCTATCAACAGTGTGCATTGATTCTATATGCTTAAATAAGTTCTTGCCATACTGTGTAGAATAAGGACACTGATCACACTGGTGTCGTTTAATACTTTGATTTAAGTGCTTTTTCATATGGCTTCGAAGGGAAGACCGATTTGCATAAACAACATGACAAACTTCACAAACACAAGCTTGATTGTCTCCGACTTCATTGTAACATACATCTGTCGAATGAATTAAACTAGATGAATTAAGAGATGGACCATATGTGTATGTAGATGGAATTTCACTAGACTTACATGATAAAGAATTTGATGAATGTGCATATACAGATACATCTGGTATTTCATGTTGCAAAATCGGTCCAGAAACATTTGTGCTTGTTCCCAAAATGGTATTTGGTGGGGAAAGATTATGTTTAGAAGTAATGGATGTGCTCAGGGAAGCGGAACTACTGCAAGGGGTAGGGGACTCAGCAGCAGAAAACTGGCGAGAACGGTATTCAGGAGGTGTCAGACTGCTATCCATCAGCTCAGAAGGTCCACTTGACTTTCCATGAATAGAAAGTGAACCATTGTTAGGTGTATTATCCGGTGGCACGTTTGTGGCATATATTCCTGGAATAGAATGCTGATCTATTATCTGAACTGGAGAATGGGTATGATGCTTTATAGGAGTAGCATATCTATCAAGTTGCTTTAAGCGCTCCTTCAGTATTGGATTGTCAGCCAGCCGCTTATCATCATCGCTCGAGTCATCCTCAATGTCTGTGGAGGTATCTGACTCTGAATCCGACTCATAATCCTGAATATTTTTGTGTGGCTTCTGGACAAGAGTCGAGTTTGTACCTTCGGCAATATTTCCCACAGTTTCTGAAGGAACGACGCCAGAAGTTGCAATACTTGACATTTCCGACGAGATTAATCAATTTCACCTATATCCATTCAGTGAGGCAACATGGGCAGGTCAGTAAATCCATAAGAGAGCTACGAATAAATAAAGTATTTATTGACATATGAAAAGTGTTGAATGTAGGGTCGAGAACTCAACAAATCTACAATAGTTCCGCTATAAACGATTGACCTTCTCAACGACCTCGACAATATTCAATGGCCTACTTGCAAGTTAGTATAAACCCAGTTGATATTTTGAATACATTTCTCGGTCTTTTTTTAGAGAAAAAAACTGGCTTTAGGCGAATTTCTGCTTATTAAGAAGATAGTGAGAACTTGTTAAAATTCTGAGTGAAGTTTAGTGTATTTAGTTCAAAGCTGTGTAGACTGGAGTGAGTATTTTCACCGGTAATTAGTTCGCTAGGGTTGAAAAAACTGAAATAACGCCGATGAATTTTGTAGCAATCAAAAGGTTTCCAAGAAGATGAAAGAGAATCCAATAAACTGATAGATGAGCGCAAAAAATATGAACAAAGCGAATGTACAGGCGGAAAGCAAGGTGTAATGTTAGTGGAGATACTAACACTGGAATTAAGTTGGCAGCAGTTGCTAGTGGTGGCGAATGCCGGAACTTTGGTTCATTCCAGTCATGTTGGTAGTACGTTTCTACTGAAAGATTATCTAGCTCGTGTATTAAGCTTCCATTTGAGGCTGCACTGTGTCGGGCGATTTGCTCCACGACTGCAAGTTCTAAAGTAAAGGATAAGGATGTCCCTAGGATTTTAGCTACCTGACATGATATCCTTGGTGATTACCCACCCCAGGCTTCCAGTAACGTAATTATAGGATTACTCTCCTTGGTGGTTCTAGCCTCATGTGAAAGTTTACTCGGACGCCGCTCAGACGTTGATAGAAATGTGACATTTGACCTATTTTCCCAGCTTTTCACCATATGTTTTATGAGGAAGATCCCTGTCCTGTTGGATGGTCGTCTGAGGGGTTTGAATCTCTCCTATAAAGTAGTAGTGTTGCATTTCTTCAAATATTTGGTTTATGGAGTGGCTGTAGTCTAAATATACGCAATCGACGAAGCATCAATAGTTAGTAAAGTCTGCACCCTTGTCATGCCAACACGCACCACACTTCACTTCGTTGTGGAAATTCCCCTAATTTATTTGATATTATATTCGCTACTTCAGTTTTACGCTTATTATAACTTATGTATCTTTCGTGAGTTGTAATTCCACTGACCTTATCTAACAAATCGATACTATTTAAAAAACACTAATATTGTTATTCACGACTATTCTACAATATTCTATGTATATAAACACATATATAATTGTAGAGCCAGAAGAGGAATTTATCGAAAAGAATATTCCTAAGATGAGTTACACAATTACTTAACGAGTTATCCTAAAGTAATAGCAGCTCAGCAGGTGTCAGCACCTGGAGGTATTCTGTATCCGAAGTGAGTGAAACTAGAGGCTTGCTATTTGTAATACTTTCAGATTCTGTCAATAAGGTTATGAGACATCCATCCTTCAACGGCCGTTTATTGACCAGCTCGCCTAGAACTCTGCGTATGGTGCGAATCATACTCTCCCAAACCCCACCACAATGGCTTGTAGACGGTGGATTGAAATGCCAACCTCTATCTCAACTCAGTAAGGCCCTATATATTCTTTCCTCTTTCCAATTCATTTAGTATCTGTCTGATTCTCTTTTCGCTCCCAACAAATTGGTCTCGTCGCCACTAGATAATTTCATGGGACACCTTATTATACCAAGAAATCTCATCAGCGCCATTATAAAGGAGTCTGTAGGGAGATCATGATTCACCTCTAGATGTACAGCTCGTAACTTGAAACACATGAAATTCAACCATATCGCCTCTCCACCATCTAATGTCACTGTTATTAGGTCAAAACAGTCCACGCCCGCTGAAGAAAGGGGATAGTTGTCCATCTCAATTTTATCCGTGGGCACGGATGCAGTCAGCCGACGCTCTGGCAATAACTGTAGTCGCGGCATCGCATTTCTTTCGGATCATCTCAATCATACAGTGTGCTGCACATTAATAGCTTTCATGACAAATGCTTCCAATCAGGTCAACGGCCACTCGATATATGAAGACATTCTTAGCAGTATCACCTTCATACATGTACACATGTTTATAAGTAGTTATTACAATCGACTGGGAAATTAAGTTTCCCTTAGAAATCATAAAGTGTAGAAGTCAGTCCTATAGGGACTAAATTATAGTCCATTTAGTAGAGTGAAATGAGTAGTGGAACTGTCAGTGATTAGGTTATGTAGAATGATCCTGAGGAAAATGACTGGTTAGCAGAACTTGTAATGCTAAATTTTCGTTACCGATGTTCATATGGTATGCGTCAGACATTGCAAAGTAACACTTCAACTTATTAATATCAGTGAAAAGTTTGAGCATAGTGGATTATATCAAATAAAGTATAATTATATTTTAATAGTTTACACACAATGATAAGTTTTGTTATTGGTAATATTTCGAGCAAAATTACTGCCCGTGTTCATACCACTGTTGGAATTGTTTTATTCACACATTTATGATTTGTACTCATATATATGGTTCATTATTATTTTTTGCTCATTCATGTTTTGTGTGTGCATAGGTGTGTTCAGAACTATACTCCACATTCATTCATGTGTTTGCATTTAGAATTATATTCCAAGTTGTTGATAGTTGTACTGAGTCACCCTTGTTACATGTATCCGGTGTGACTTTAATGAATATCGATTCTGTTATGAGTCTTTCTTTCCATTTGTTCATGTTTGTTTTTAGAATACACACACTGTCCCAATCGATATTGTGGTTTTTGTCCCATGCATGTGCAGCCATAGATGAATTTTTTCAAGCTTTTTGTAAGCTTGTGTCCCTGTTGGTTGACCTTTAGTTAGGCGTTTATGTTCATTCACTCTTATTTTGAGTGATCTGGTCGTTTGCCCCACATATTTAGTTGGACAGTTAGCACTATGTTTAAAATACTAAGATATGCTATAAAATTACACGTCCTGGAGAAGTATATGAAAAAAGCAGTTATTCACTGAATGTAGTCATTTAAGCACAGAAATAGCAGAGTACATTGCTAATCATATATCTGTAAAATATTAAAAAGTAGGGTTGCTAATGTAGTTATTTATAGGAATACTTAAAATAGCACAACTTATTGAAGATTATAGATAAGAGAAAATCAGTTAAACGTTTGCTCCAAAGGTGGCAGAGTTGCGATAGATGTAATTGACTGGGAAGAAGACTGGGCTGGCTTTCGTGGTTGTGGTTTTTTTAGATTGGGTAGAACGGACATGTTAATATGTCATTTTAGGCTCCATTTGAAACCATCAGGGTACCCATAAGTCTGATTTCAGATGGTAGTTGGTTTCGAACAGTGCAATATTTCGTGGTACAAAAGTTTGCCTTAATGGTTTTTCTGTGGACAGTCACCTCGAGAAGGTAGTCGTGGTTTTGCTGCTGATATAAATAAAAATATGCTGACATAATGGATGAGCTACTTTAACAATTTTTCCCAATGACTTTGAAGAGTAGAAATAAGTTTCATTTCACTCCCCTTAACCATAAGGGCTCTAATTTCAGTTGCACACAACTGTCCACATATTCCACTTGTTGGTGAAACCCTATTATGCGTTTCATCAGGAATCTCTGTTTAATTTCGGCTTCTTTTATGTCTGCAGACCCTAGGTCAACATACCGGAGGGAACAATATTCAACTTTGTGGCGGATACCTGTCTTACATGTGGCTAGTTTTGCTTCTAGAGGGTAAAAGTTTTGCAGAACAAAGCCAGTGAAATTGCTCACAGTCAGCTAATGCCTTATTACATGATCAGGAGGGGCTAAATATGAATATATTTTCCCAAATTTCGTGGCTATTTCCAGGCTTCAGTGGAGGTTACCACACATATATAGAAACACTCTTGGTTTCCAAAGTCTAAAAAGGATAGTCAGTGTAGTGGAAGATTGAACGATCAATTCATGGTTGTTTGCTCGAACCCAACTTCCCTATATTTTCGCGGAGACATCGATACGACAGTCATCGTCTCATCGGTCGCTGTTCAGAAAGAAGTCAGGCCAAAACTGTCAGAAGTAATGTTGTGATTTATTATTGTAATATTTGTTCATAGACCTTGGTTAAAACTTAATTTTAAAGTTGCCTATATGTTGGTGTTACAATAAAGAATTCTCGAGTAGCCAATCGGTGTTTTGGTTTTGCGTCCGTTATTACTAGGCGTTTCTGAGAAACTTCAAGGAACAGCGTGAGTCCCAGCGTAGCAAGAGCTGTGCATTGACGGTTTACGAGACGTGGCTGACAGTTTCTGACAGTGAAGTCAGTTTCTGACGGCGGAAACATTTTTTGACGGATTCAGATAGCTGGTGACAGTTTAAATAGTCACGATTCATCTTTCCTGGTGCCGGTCAAGTCCTCTGTGAACAAGCAATATCTGCAGCATTTTTGGAATTGGGTCAAGTTCAACAATGCCTGGGTCAAAGAAGGGACAGAGCGTCTTGGATGCAAACAGGAAAGTAAGTCATGGTGACTTGTCTGTTAATTGTAACGATGTGTCTGATGTTAAGCATGACATGGTTGATGTTACTGCTTCGCCATTCAGGGATAATAGGAACATCAAACTCCCTAAATTTGAACCATGGTGTTTTGATGGAAACCGGCTGATCATTTATAATTTGTAAAGGAGTTTGAGATCATGCTGAGTAGTTTTCTATTTAGTGATGACATGAAGTTAATGTATTCGATGAGGTATTCCACTGGAGTTGCTGCAAGAGCTATACAGTGCTGTAAGTTCATGAAGCCAAAAGAGGGCTACTACGAGGCTATGAGAATACTACGTCAAGGGTTTGGAAGACCTTCAATGATTGCAGGGAAATTATTCGAGGCTGTTAAGGGTAACGGTGGTCAATTACAGGATGACTCCCAGGCACTCACTGAGTTTCTGGATAATTTGCTGATTTACAAGAATGCATTGATTTCGATGAATTGTATGAGTGACCTCAACTGGAGTTTTATACTAGAAGTAATAGCAAGACGTCTACCTACTCGACTGCAAAGGAAGTGGGTGAAGATGAGCTCCCGTATGGAGGATGAGGGTATCGAGCCAAAGTTTGATGATATCCTG